TGATGAGATGGATATGATGAGTTATATAATGTTACGTTTACCGTAAAACTTGATATTAATCTAATTAGATCATTTAAAGACTAGACGTTCAAGTTAGCAATGAAACCGGTAAAATGTGTTACTAGGAAAAAATTGGCGGGAAATGAGCTAATGAGATGGATATGCTGGGTTACATAAAAATTGATAGACAATTTGAAATTTCTTATAAATTTAAAAAGTGATGAAGTTGTTGATAGGTAATTCCATAAAAACGAAGTTGTTGATAGGTAAAAAATGAGCTAAAAAGGTAATTCCATAAAGTACGTTGCTGAAAAACCTTATTCATAAAGTACATTGCTAAAAAACATTATTATGTACACGTTTCTAATAAGAACCTTATTTAATGAAGTATGTTGCTAAAAACAATATTCCATAAAGTATCTTGCTAAAAGGTCATTTTTCCATGAAGCAGGTTGCTAAAATAGCTTTATTCGCTAAGCATGCTCTAAAAACAAACTATTTGTTACAAAAAAATGTTTTCTTTAAATCCAATATGTCTATGATTTATTTTCATTTTATATGTCAAGTACATACCACGGTTGATAAAGTTTGTAGGAAATATCTTTGAGATGGACTAGTTCTATCCTATTATAACATATAACATTCATTTTTCTTATTAGTGAAATCTCCATTAAAGTCTCATTCTTTTACGCTAATTTACGAATAGGTCACAAACTAAAATTTGTTTACGAAAAAACATGAATTATTGGTAAAAATGACAATTTGGTTATTTTCCATGGTTACCGGTTTCATTGTTGTGCAATCTCCATTAAAGTCCTATTATTTTACCATAATTTATGAATAAGTCTCAAACTAAAATGTGTTTACGAAACAGCACGAATTACTAGTAAAAATGATGATTTGGCTTTTTCTCTCTGTAACACACATTTTATCGGTTTCATTGCCGGCCTGGACGCTTTGTCATTAAATGAATTGATGAGATGGATATGATGAGTTATATAATGTTACGTTTACCGTAAAACTTGATATTAATCTAATTAGCTCATTTAAAGACCAGACGTTCAAGTTAGCAATGAAACCGGTAAAATGTGTTACTAGGAAAAAATTGGCGGGAAATGAGCTAATGAGATGGATATGCTGGGTTACATAAAAATTGATAGACAATTTGAAATTTCTTATAAATTTAAAAAGTGATGAAGTTGTTGTTAGGTAATTCCATAAAAACGAAGTTGTTGATAGGTAAAAAATGAGCTAAAAAAGTAATTCCATAAAGTACGTTGCTGAAAAACCTTATTTCATAAAGTACGTTGCTAAAAAACATTATTATGTACACGTTTCTAATAAGAACCTTATTTAATGAAGTATGTTGCTAAAAAACAATATTCCATAAAGTATCTTGCTAAAAGGTCATTTTTCCATGAAGCACGTTGCTAAAATAGCTTTATTCGCCAAGCATGCTCTAAAAACAAACTATTTGTTACAAAAAATGTTTTCTTTAAATCCAATATGTCTATGATTTATTTTCATTTTATATGTCAAGTACATACCACGGTTGATAAAGTTTGTAGGAAATATCTTTGAGATGGACTAGTTCTATCCTATTATAACATATAACATTCATTTTTCTTATTAGTGAAATCTCCATTAAAGTCTCATTCTTTTACGCTAATTTACGAATAGGTCACAAACTAAAATTTGTTTACGAAAAAACATGAATTATTGGTAAAAATGACAATTTGGTTATTTTTCCATGGTTTACCGGTTTCATTGTTGTGCAATCTCCATTAAAGTCCTATTATTTTACCATAATTTATGAATAAGTCTCAAACTAAAATGTGTTTACGAAACAGCACGAATTACTAGTAAAAATGATGATTTGGCTTTTTCTCTCTGTAACACACATTTTATCGGATTCATTGCCGGCCTGGACGCTTTGTTATTAAATGAATTGATGAGATGAATATGATAAGTTATATAATGTTACGTTTACCGTAAAACTTGATATTAATCTAATTAGCTCATTTAAAGACTAGACGTTCAAGTTAGCAATGAAACCGGTAAAATGTGTTACTAGGAAAAAATTGGCGGGAAATGAGCTAATGAGATGGATATGCTGGGTTACATAAAAATTGATAGACAATTTGAAATTTCTTATAAATTTAAAAAGTGATGAAGTTGTTGATAGGTAATTCCATAAAAACGAAGTTGTTGATAGGTAAAAAATGAGCTAAAAAAGTAATTCCATAAAGTACGTTGCTGAAAAACCTTATTTCATAAAGTACGTTGCTAAAAAACATTATTATGTACACGTTTCTAATAAGAACCTTATTTAATGAAGTATGTTGCTAAAAAACAATATTCCATAAAGTATCTTGCTAAAAGGTCATTTTTCCATGAAGCATGTTGCTAAAATAGCTTTATTCGCTAAGCATGCTCTAAAAACAAACTATTTGTTACAAAAAAATGTTTTCTTTAAATCCAATATGTCTATGATTTATTTTCATTTTATATGTCAAGTACATACCACCGTTGATAAAGTTTGTAGGAAATATCTTTGAGATGAACTAGTTCTATCCTATTATAACATATAACATTCATTTTTCTTATTAGTGAAATCTCCATTAAAGTCTCATTCTTTTACGCTAATTTACGAATAGGTCACAAACTAAAATTTGTTTACGAAAAAACATGAATTATTGGTAAAAATGACAATTTGGTTATTTTTCCATGGTTTACCGGTTTCATTGTGGTGCAATCTCCATTAAAGTCCTATTATTTTACCATAATTTATGAATAAGTCTCAAACTAAAATGTGTTTACGAAACAACACGAATTACTAGTAAAAATGATGATTTGGCTTTTTCTCTCTGTAACACACATTTTATCGGTTTCATTGCCGGCCTGGACGTTTTGTCATTAAATGAATTGATGAGATGGATATGATGAGTTATATAATGTTACGTTTACCGTAAAACTTGATATTAATCTAATTAGCTCATTTAAAGACTAGACGTTCAAGTTAGCAATGAAACCGGTAAAATGTGTTACTAGGAAAAAATTGGCGGGAAATGAGCTAATGAGATAGATATGCTGGGTTACATAAAAATTGATAGACAATTTGAAATTTCTTATAAATTTAAAAAGTGATGAAGTTGTTGATAGGTAATTCCATAAAAACGAAGTTGTTGATAGGTAAAAAATGAGCTAAAAAAGTAATTCCATAAAGTACGTTGCTGAAAAACCTTATTTCATAAAGTACGTTGCTAAAAAACATTATTATGTACACGTTTCTAATAAGAACCTTATTTAATGAAGTATGTTGCTAAAAAACAATATTCCATAAAGTATCTTGCTAAAAGGTCATTTTTCCATGAAGCACGTTGCTAAAATAGCTTTATTCGCCAAGCATGCTCTAAAAACAAACTATTTGTTACAAAAAATGTTTTCTTTAAATCCAATATGTCTATGATTTATTTTCATTTTATATGTCAAGTACATACCACGGTTGATAAAGTTTGTAGGAAATATCTTTGAGATGGACTTGTTCTATCCTTTTATAACATATAACATTCATTTTTCTTATTAGTGAAATCTCCATTAAAGTCTCATTCTTTTACGCTAATTTACGAATAGGTCACAAACTAAAATTTGTTTACGAAAAAACATGAATTATTGGTAAAAATGACAATTTGGTTATTTTTCCATGGTTTACCGGTTTCATTGTTGTGCAATCTCCATTAAAGTCCTATTATTTTACCATAATTTATGAATAAGTCTCAAACTAAAATGTGTTTACGAAAAAGCACGAATTACTAGTAAAAATGATGATTTGGCTTTTTCTCTCTGTAACACACATTTTATCGGTTTCATTGCTGACCTGGACGCTTTGTCATTAAATGAATTGATGAGATGGATATGATGAGTTATATAATATTACGTTTACCGTAAAACTTGATATTAATCTAATTAGCTCATTTAAAGAGTAGACGTTCAAGTTAGCAATGAAACCGGTAAAATGTGTTACTAGGAACAAATTGGCGGGAAATGAGCTAATGAGATGGATATGCTGGGTTACATAAAAATTGATAGACAATTTGAAATTTATTATAAATTTAAAAAGTGATGAAGTTGTTGATAGGTTATATAATTGTTGTAGTCTTCGTTGGATGCATTTCATATTCCAGAAAAACATACAATGCAACAGAATATCAAGTTTTACGGTAGTCATAACATTATATAACCCATCATATCCAATACATCACATCAGCTCATTTAATGACCAGACGTCCAAATCAACAATGAAACCGGTAAAATGTGTATTACAAGGAAAAAATGGTAAAATCATCACTTTTAGCGGTAATTCATGTTTTTTCGTAAACAAATTTTAGTTTGCGACTTATTCATAAATTATAGTAAAATAATGAGACTTTAATGAAGATTTCCCGAGCAATTAAACCGGTAAACCGGGAAAAATGTTCAAATCGTCATTTTTACAGGTAATTCATGTTTTTTCGTAAACAAATTTTAATTTGAGATTTATTCGTAAATAAATGTAAAATAGTGAGCGTTTAACGGGGATTTCTCTTTTTATTAAGACATACTTTGCAAAGATACGGTGTTTTCGAAGTACAGTGTACGCTAAAAAATTGTATTACAACACAAAATTATTGGTTAAACTCCCGCCTCAATGTGCGGCTTAACACCTAATTCCACGTATGTCCACCATGGGACTTGAACCCTCGACCTCAAGGAGGGAGGGCACCACCTGATACCGCTCGGCTAAAAGCCCTTTGGTAGATAAAAATAGATAAGTTCGATATCTTTCGATTGAATATTTCTATTTATTTCCATACTCCATTATTTTACAAGTGTCAAAATTAATGGATACTTAGTAAAATTAAAGGATGAAATGAAATAAGAGGATAAAATAGCACATAAATTTTATTTTTCTAAAATATAAAATATATAAAATAAAAAGCATAGATTGATCACGATCAGTTTCAGCAAGCGTAAAAATCCACAAGCTCATGCAAAGCGTCAGGTTGAGGATCTGCATTCTCGATCATCCACAAAAGATGTTCAAACAACACAACTTCGCATTCAATCGTCACATTGGGATGATCCTCGTCATCTAAACCTGAACCCGAACGTTCCACAAGCTCTTGAAACAATGGGTGTTGGGCCACACCGGAGCTTATAAGGTAGCGCCGCCGTGATTTGCCTACATATACAGCAGCATGAGAATGAGAACGGCTCAACTTCTGCTGCAGGTACTCAATATCCTCATCGGAAGTGGACGCACTGAAGCAGCCTTTCGTCAAATGAATGCCACTTCTTTAGCACCGATTTGATCTTGATTAGCTTTCCACCTTTCGCCATTGATTATCTAAATCTGAAACCAAGCTAAAACAGAGGTTTTGATGAGTGGAGATATGTATATAGTGAGAGAAACTGAGGATGTAAGTTGGTTGTTTATATACACAGCTTGTGGCTGGAATTGATGGAATATTTCGTCCCTTTCAGATTTGGATATGAATCTGTGTATGTCTCTCTGTATATAGATATAAATATATATTGGTTGGGGTGTTGTTGAAACAAATAGGATGCCTTTGGGGCCATTCTTGATTGTCTCGTAAAATATTGTTATGATTGGTAATCTATGTGATTGAGACCTTACAAGAATATGATATTATAATAAGCTATATAAATTATTAAAGGGGCTTAATGGACAGATTAGATGAGTAATTGTTAACTGTTAAGTATGTAAGTTCAAAACAAATTGGAATTGATTATCAATCATCAAACCTTTATAGCCAATAAATATATTAAATAAACAGTTTAGGAAATCATAAACAACTAACTAAATACACTTTGAGACATTTTTTTGGTTTGGTGGTGATGGACTTTGTCTATTAGATTTAGATGATGCATCTGTTTCAATATCTAACAAAAATTACTTATAACTTCTAACAAAATAATGGGTACTTTATCAAAATCTTTAAGTGATAGTCGTCACAACAAGTTCTTTCTCTGTCAAGACCATTTTGGGTTTTTTTATTTTTTATATTTTATTTATTTATTTATTTTTGTCAAAAGCACGTTGCTACATGCCTATATATTATAAAGAACAAAAATCAATATTTAATCCAACTTTTTTTCTACTTAATCTTTCTTCAATTCTGTCGAATAATATGTTCTCAAGCCAAAAAATATAGAGATCCAATGGGAAAATTTGTATTTGCATTCCATACTGTCATGTGTTTATACACAAAGAGCCAAATTCAAAACAGAAATGAGAAACAAAGCTTGGCAAAAAGCATTCAGTCGTTAACATCATTAACACCTTCTAGCTTCAGCTTCAGCTAAACGCGGGGAACTAATCACTTTGCAAATTCGTTCTTCCCCCCTTCCTTTCCTCAAAGCTAGCCTGTCAATCCATAAATAGCAACAAACTTTCTTAACTTCCACTAATCACATATCATTTATCACATATAAACTGACATACCTTGTTGTAGAAGCATGAGCCATGATGTTACCACCAATTAGTTTAATTTGAGGCCCTGCAAACATGGCTGAACCATCTACTTGGGCCACAACTTGATTGGTGATCACCACAGCTACACCGAACTAATAAACAAACTGTATAACACTTTAGCATCAAAACATTATTTTTACTAAAAAAAAAGTGTGGACAAAACATAAAATATGATTACCTCATCCGCTAACTTCTGAAGGCTCGTCAAGACCTTTGTAAGATGCATCTGGATGATTGTTCACCTCTACCAGAGCAGTTCTATAAAGAGCGGTTGCACTGTCCACACTACTAGAAAGTTGACCTTCAGCGACGGAAGTAGAGACGGATTCTATCCGTAGCAAATCAGCGACCGCTTACCGAGGGATCAGCGACGGAACTCACTAATATTTCGATCAAAATAATTATAGAGATTTAGAGAGGTATTACCGATGGATCAATGACCGATTTGTAAGAATTTATCGACAAAAAACGTTTCCTCACTAATCCGTTGCAAATTAAAACCTACTAGCTAGGGAACAACGACGGATTACAAAAATCACACGCGTTTTTTTTTGGGCCTTCGCCAATCTCTCGCAGAAAATCGACAACTTTTTTTTCATTCCCCGCTTTTTACGTTCCCTCCTTTTATTTTCATTCCCGCTTTTTTTTTCTTTCTTTTTTCATTCCCCAATTTTGTTTTAATTCCCTCTATCTTCTTCCCAAAGCTCTAAACAATTTCATCTCAAATCCCTAATCGAATCTTTGTCCACTGAAATCCCTCCTCTGCCCGAAAAATCACCTCCAGCACCGTCCATCTGCATCGCCCCTCTTTGAAGACCTCAAAAATCAAATCATTGTTGGCTTTCCTCTTTGTCCATCCGCCTCTCTCGTTGATTCACTTTTTCCCCCGCCAACGCCATTCGATCTGTTGGTTTATCCTCGATCGTAAACACGAGCAAATCTCATGTAGTCTTCATCAGCTTCTAATTTTGGTTTCTAGTAGTGTGTAAGTTCCATTTCCATGTAGCTCTTACTTCTCTTTCACTTTTTAGTTCAATTCACAACTCGTTTTTCTAAGCCTACTTTCCTTAACTCCTTAATTTTGGTTTTCCTAGGGTTTCTCGTTGTTTACATACATTTTGTTTTTGCTATTACAGTTTAAAACCCTCTGTCTCTCTGGATGAATTTGTATCATTTTTTTTTCATGTTTAGTCGATGGGATTTTTCATATTGATTGTCATCTTAACTCCAATTTTGACTTCATGATGATTGTAGTAATATTCCTGATTATATAAATTAGCATATGGATTCTTTTCTAGATCTGAACTGATATGAACTTGGTACACATGCATTTGACAAGGGGCTTAATTTAAAAACGACATCAATCATGATTTTTAGAATGTTTGGACCTATTGTCGTTATTTTTTTTCCAATACTCTTCTATTCTCTATTCCTATCTTCTTTGGAGGATCCATATTTGAATTTTAGGTCAAGGACATAGCTATTGAGTTGGAGTTTTGTTTATGTTGTGTGATATTTTAAGAGTTAACATCCTATAGTCCAATTTGAGTAGCTTAGTATATAAAAAAATACCTAATGTGACAGTAGGACTTCGTTTCCTTGTTTCAGTATCTAATTGTAAGTGCAGTTGTGGACTCAAACATTCATGTAGTGAACAATGGGAGGAAATGCATTCAGGAAAGTATCAAATACTTATGTGTTTTAAGAAATCATTGTTAGATAAAGCTATATATTGATGTTCCAAACACTCATAGTATACGCCTCTTTGGTAATTTATTACGAATTTCATCTTAACATACCCCAACAATGCATACATGGCGACAGAAAGATTCATTCTGCTCAACGTTTGGTTGCTTTGAAAGCTGAATGCAATTTCACTACTAGAAAAAGGTTAATAGAGTACGGTTGAAATTATGAATATAGTACGTACATAGAGGGCGTATTAGTAGAGGTGTGTATTAGATTACATGCCTAATAGAGTACGGCTATTTAACCGTACTATATGTATCCTATCTACTTTTTAAAACAATCGCATACAATCATCTAATACGCCATATATACACATCTAATACACTAATACACAACCGTACTTGATGTCTCACATCCCCATTCCCTTCCACCATTCATGATTGCATTCTACCATTCATGATTGCATTCCAGCCCATTCCAGCCCAGGCTTTGCATTCCAGCCTTATTCATCAGCTAATTCCACTCCATGGATGTTGCGGAACACATGGATCACCATTCCAACTGAAACAAACTCTTCAATTTCTGCAAAGCTTTTACCATGTGAATTGTAACTGAAGGATCAATCTCTACAAAATACAAACCTACTATATGATTCCATTCCAACCATAAGAAGTGGGACATCATTGATCCTGTTTTCATTTTCAGAAACAGAAAAAAAATTACAATGAACCACTTAGTTCATTAAACATAAAAACATTAATATTCTTTCAGACTACAGTCTATACAATCTAAAAGACTATCATTTGTATACCTAGTTCATTAAACATAAAAACATTCTTAAATTTTTTGAATGTCACACCTCTGACCTCTCTTTCCCCTTTGTGGCTGATTCATTGTATGCCTACAAAAACAAGAAAACTTAGGATTCAAAATCGCAAATAACTTTTAATGAAGAAAACTCAAATTATAGGACCTTCCTGCCCTTAACAACTTCATCTATAGCAATGCAAGGGTGAAAACTTCTCCATAACATAAAAAATATGAGCAAAAACAACATGAAATACAAGGGATGTTTGTGTACCTTACAAAAACTTTTATGCAAAGCCTCCATAACAGGAAATCTGCAAACTTCCACAATAAAACACAAAATATAACATCCTACTTTTATATATCTCATTTTCCATAAAAAAAAATTCGTCTAATTCCTCACTAGAAAATGGTTTTTTGAAAAACATAACCAATTATAACAATGTATATAGAACAACTAACCGTTAACTTAAAAAGGGCTTCACTTTATCACCAAAAGTTCTCATCCATGTTTTAACACGTTCGTCCAATTCCTCACTAGAAAATGGTGAAAGCTCATGAGCTTCTTCGTGAAATGCTGTAAAAGGGGATTCAGCCAATTGTTACCTTTAATGTTTTAATGAATGGGTTTTGCATGTATGGGAGTTTAGAAGATGGAGAGAAGCTACTGACATGGATGTTGGAAAAGGGTAAAAATGGTATTATGTCATGTAACGCCCCGATTCTCAGGTATTGATTTCTGATATAAGATTTTTCTTGATTTCAAGGTCTACTCGACGAGTTGGTTGCCCGACTCGTCGAGTAGTAGCGAGTTGGTCCACGTGTTTAAGTGACCTACTCGCCGAGTCCAAATAGGGACTCGACGAGTAGGAGCTGGATGATGAAACCCTAATTTCCAGGGTTTTGCACCCTATTTAAAGGATCATTGGCCTCCCCAGCCTCCCCCTTTCACAGCCCCTTATCATTCCAAAAACCCTAATTCATGTGTGTATGCTACATTGGTGTGTTAAGCTTTGAAGAAGGATTTTGGTGAGAAAAGCTTGGGAAACAAGTGATTAGAAGCAATGAACTCGTGGGAATCAGAGATCTACTTCAGTTGGCACTCTTTTGAAGGTATTAAGTTGTTGCCTTGGCTCATTTCTTCCTAGATCTCTTTTGGGTGGGTTTTTAGGAAGCCTTTCTTGTGTTTGAGCTAAGATCTAAAGTTGCAACTTCAGATCTGAGCTCTCTTTGGTCTCTAAGCCCTTAAAGTTGTCAAGGTTGGCAAGTATGAACCTCCCCTCAAGTGTAAGACTTCTTTACAAGCTTGGTTTTGTCATTTTAAGACTTTAGAGCTTTGCATGCACGTAAAGTTTGCAACTTTACGTGATAAACATGCCTTGGGAAGCTGGATATGCAATATGGAACCTTAGCATGGCTTAAAAAGCATCTGTATAGATGAAGGACTGAAGGGACTCGACGAGTTGCATGGTCAACTCGGCGAGTCCGATGAAGATAGTCGTGGGCTTGGCGAGTCAGCTGAGTGACTCGGCGAGTCGGCTAGGGTTTTTTCCAACCTTTGGACACATTTGAACTTGGCGAGTTGAAAGGGAAACTTGACAAGTTGGCCAAGGAGTTTACGGTCGCAAACCGTAGGAACTCGACGAGTCACTCTAGTGACTCGGCGAGCTGACTAGTTATGCAAGGAACTCAGCGAGTAGCTAAGGGTACTCGACGAGTTGAGGTCAACATGGATTGTTGACCTTGAGCGTTGACTTTGACTTTGACCAGTTGACTTTTGGGGACATTTTGGGAAATTGGAAATTTATGAACATGGTTTGATGGTAACTATAGGTTGTGGAGTTCGTGTCGATGATCCGAGAGGTTGAACTTATCTTTCGAGTCGACAGTTGCGAGGTGAGTTATCCTCACTATATCAATAGGGTCTAAGGCACCAAGGCCGGCCCTTTATGGATTCGTATCCGGATTATGGCATGATATGTTTATTGTTTACATCCTGGTAGTTAGGATGGTGATATGCTTATGCTTAGTGACTTGGTTAGGTCAGTGTCCTGATTATAGCATGATGCTATGCTAGTGACCGGTTAGGTCTGTTGTAACACCCCAAATTTCAATTGTTCAATAAAGGGGCAAAAGTGTAAATTTAGGAAAGGGACTCGATGAGTAGGCCCGCTTACTCGCCGAGTCGGAGCGGGATTCTATCGCGGTTTAAGTGGCCACCGCCGAGTTGGCGGCTTGGACTCGACGAGTTGGTGCTGAAGAGAGAAAACCCTAATCCCGGGGGTTGTGCCCTATATAAAGCACATTATAACCCACCATCAGCCTCTTTGATACCCTTTTGAGATCCAGAAACCCTAGAATCGAGTGAGCTTCCATTAATAAAGAGAATAGAGCTTTGGAGGAGAAAATCTTGGAAAGGGGCTTGAAGATCAAGAGGTTTGCTGCAAAGGAGTGGTGTAGATCCGGGATCTACTTCAGTTGGAGCTTATATTGGAGGTAATAATCTGTTGCTTGGGCTCTTTTGCATCTAGATCTATTATCATTTGAGATTTGGGGCATTTTTGGTATGATTGAGAGCTATTTCGAGTTAGAGGCTTAGATCTGAGGTTGCTACTTCAGATCTAGGCTTGTGATGGTCCAAAATGTCATAAAGCTTATGTCTAAGAGTTGTTGGTAAAGCCCCTTTGTCATGAAACCTAGCCCTAGAGTGTTTTGGGCCTATATCTCCTT